TTCCCCCTACCTCGGGATGATAGTTTTGACTGTTCCCCAAATAGCCATGAAACAATTGTATACTGTTCCCAAAATAACCATGAAACAATTGTTTTATTACCAAATAAATATTAGTATCAATGCTGCATGCAATGTTGCCATTGCTTCAACACTGAGTCGCGGTCACCGAAACGCTTGAACGGGGCTCTCGAGGGGGAATTTCTGCGCATCGAATTCGCGCCGGGTAACAGTTCACTCTGACCGGGAAAACAGTTTTGACTGTTTCACCCCTACAGGCGAAATGGGACTAAAGGCCAGAAACAGTCAAAAATGACTAATTATGATTTATATAGACTATTGGGTAATAATAGACATTATGTATCGGTCTACCCTGTTTGGTGGACATTATGTAAGTCTCTTGTGATTGGTGGAGATTATGCATATGTCTGCCTTGATTAGTGGACATTATGTATATAATTTCCCTAGTTTGTTGAATGAAATAGTCTAATATGTAGTCAGTATGTCACTTCTGATTGTTGAACCAACTTTGTATAAATTCTGATGAAGCTTTAATTTTTTTCCACAGTTCAGAAGCCCGAAAGATGGAAAGCTATGACAAGCATGATGCTCCCCCTGCTGGCAATCTTGGATCCTTCACCGGTCTGGTACTACTTATTCAGGGCCTGGGTCTGACAGCAGTCATCCTTGTGGCGGTATGGATGGGACACTTTCGTGAGGGCTTTGCCTGGACCAGTGACCCCGCCAAAGAGTTTAACTATCATCCTGTGTTCATGGTGATAGGACTTATCTTCCTCTACTCTGATGGTAAAATCAAATAATCAAATTTTTTTTTTGTACTGTGTATTAACAGTGCTCTTATTGATTAAATATATAAACTTTGCCTTTGAGTTTTTCAACCAAATACTAACAGCTTCCCCTAGCAAAAAAGTCCTTTCATCTTCTCAAAATGTAGAAAAATGTGAAATATCTTCCCAAATTCAATGCGAATAATCCTATAATTCTTCCCAATTCATGTAGGGAGAGGCTGTTAGGATTCCAGGTAGAAAATAACAAGATTGAGTAGTATTCTTGCTTTACTTAGAATGCCTAGTTCAGTGTTTTTCCTGTAGTGTAATGGTAAGATTAAATAGTGTCTTTCCTCACTGCTTCATTTAACATGTAATTTACTGTAAATAGACAGATTAGTTACTGCACAGTAGCTGTGAGTAACTCTGGGCTGAATTTCTGTGTATAATTGACTAAAACTTAAAACAAGACTTCAGGCACAAAATCATTGACTTAGAAATTAGCTTGGCTATATAGATCCGAATGTCTTGGTCACTGTTTAAAATTTTATAGAAAAACATGTTAGTTTCTGACTTACAACACAACAACATTAGTTCTCAGGGGTAGATAATATACAAACAGGACTTTGTTTTGAATTACTTTTCATGTGTAAATCAATACAGGTCACTGTTACATGTACAATATAAGTACACTTTTATCCAATATCATTCCAAGATATTGTTTTATTGGTTCAATACAAAGGGATTTAACAACAGGGATAATCTACAGTATACGGTATAAGTCATCTCATATTTATAACTTATTCACCTCTGAAATTTCATAATGACCTATTCCAACCTTTGATTTAGAAGAGTTCAAATGTGTCTTTAGGTGTGATCGAATAACTCATCATTTGGAGATGACTCATTATCCACCTTAACTAGCTTCATTGTAAGCATTCTGTGCTGCCCTGATATAATGGATCTGAAAGAATTAAGACAGTCAGATAAAACATAACATTTTAAACTCATTAGCTAACTCGTCCTTGCTAACATTTCGAAATGTCCATGGGGAGATTACGCATGCTCAGAATAAAAACCATAAATAAAATGTGTGTATCTACACCCTAATACTTTAAAATGTCATTTTTTAAAATGTTCGTTCAGATGAAATAATCAGATCCTAGAAAATTGGAATAGTTTAGCAAATTCACTGGTTGAAAATGCTCAATTTAAGGGTTCAAAATCAGGAATATCAATCACAAAATAGGGATAGTTGTCAAGTATGCTAAATTTATTTTTTTGTTTGTTTTTGAAGCAATCCTGGCGTACCGTGTGTTTCGCAATGTTAAGAAGATGTACATCAAGATTGTACACGGATTTATACACCTAGGAGCACTGGTTTTTGCCTCGGTGGGACTGAAGGCAGTGTTTGATTCCCACAACCTGGCCCCCACACCTATACCTAACATGTACAGTCTGCACAGCTGGCTAGGTATCATCACTGTGGTGTTGTTTGGTCTGCAGGTCAGTCTCTCAAGCCATAATCTTTCATCTCATTATAGTTACATTTGTACCTCTTATACAATTAGCTTTTGAGCCAAATCTTCTCTCTTTATCTCTGCTATACAGTTCTGTCTCTCACATACCCCAGTATATATGTCCTCTCTATATCCTAACAAACCTGTCGCTATATTTGTATAGTAATTCCTTTCCTCTGCCTATTTCTTCTCCATTAACCATTTTTTCCTCCACTCATCCTATCCTCTTCCTATTCCGCCTTTGCGTATTGGAGAGTTATCTTCTGTTGTGAGCAAGTATTGATTGTTACGTTTGTGAGAGCAACGTCATTAATTTTTGAGAAAACGACTTAATTTTCTCACGCAAACCAATGGCGTAACAATCAATACCTGCTCACAAGAGAAGATAACTCTGCAATGCGCAAAGACGGATTAACCTTCCAATCATTTAACCTTGATCACCTCCTGTAACACCTACTGTATGATCACCTCCTGTAACACCTACTGTATGATCACCTTCTGTAACACCTACTGTATGATCACACCTCCTGTAACACCTACTGTATGATCATCTCCTGTAACACCTACTGTATGATAACCTCCTGTAACACCTACTGTATAATCACACCTCCTGTAACACCTAATGTATGATCATCTCCTGTAACGACTACTGTATGATCACCTCCTGTAACACCTACTGTATGATCACCTCCTGTAACACCTGCTGTATGATCACCTCCTGTATGATCACGTCCTGTAACACCTACTGTATGATCACACCTCCTGTAACACCTACTGTATGATCACCTCCTGTAACGACTACTGTATGATCACGTCCTTTAACACCTACTGTATGATCACCTGCTGTAACACCTACTGTATGATCATCTCCTGTAATGACTACTGTATGATCACCTCCTGTAACACCTACTGTATGATCACACCTCCTGTATGATCACGTCCTGTAACACCTACTGTATGATCACCTCCTGTAACACCTACTGTATGATCACTTCCTGTACCACCTACTGTATGATCACACCTCCTGTATGATCACCTCCTGTAACACCTATGGTATGATCACACCTCCTGTACCACCTACTATATGATCACCTCCTGTAACACTTACTGTATGATCACACCTCCTGTAACACCTACTGTATTTATACACTTCCTGTAATACCTACTGTATGAATACACCTCCTGTAACACCTACTGTATGATCACTAGCTCCTGTAACACCTACTGTACACCAGGAAACTTTCTCATGGTCAAATATTAGCCCTTCACTGGTAAAATCAATATTCACTCAATTTAAATTTCAGCCTTCACATATAATTATATAGGGTTAAAGTACCTATATGTAATATTCCCTGCAATGATATATCTATTACATTTCAGAGGGTGAAAAAGGCGATAATCAATCTGCATTGAAAAATTCCCGTTCAGATATTTACCATAATTTCATGTCTGTCTATTTTATTTTCCCCACTCCTCTTTCTGTCCTCTCATCAGCTGCTCCCCATTTCCCTACTCCTTAACGACATCAACACACTAAAGTCAGAGTTATTTTCATACTTTCTTTATGTTTTATATTTAAGGTTAACATATTGTAAATCAGAAGTACATCCTTGTTATCATTAACTGATAAAAGATACAGATGGTGTAACCTGTATGTGTCCTGTTACAGTGGCTCATAGGACTGCTGACCTTCCTGGCACCTGGTCTGTCCCAGGGACTTCGGACCCTATACATGCCCCACCACGTATTCTGGGGCGTGGCTATTCTGTGTATGGCGGCTGCCACAGCACTGATGGGAATCACAGAGAAGGCCATCTTCTTGAAAAGCACTATGTAAGTAAAACGGAAGATCTGTTTGTAATGGTATAAGTAAAAGTCCCCCAAGCTCATGCAGGATGTTTATCATGTTCATCGAACAGAAGTTATTTAATTTTCAAATTGTATAAAAACACAAGGTTTATTGAGGGTCTTTTACAATTTGAAAATTAACCTACGAGAGGATAAACACGATAACCAACCTTTATGAGTTTGGGGACCTTTTTCTCCCACAACATTTCGATAATATATATCTAGAAAATCATTTGTTTCTGTTGGGAATACATCATTCCTATTGACGGTCGTGGAAACAATTGCTATGAACTAAAACGTCACAATGGAAAAACTAAAACGTCACAATGGAAGATGACGTCGCAATGTGTTGTAACTTGATGCCTTATTACATTGTAGATGATTGGCCAATGATGTAACAACCAGGGTTTTACATACTATGGGGGAACCAAAAATGTTTACCAACTCCTAGCAGGTTTATCCAATGATCATCGAGTCAGGACTGAGGAAACCTATAGTGGTTATGGGGGGGAAATACTTTCAAACTTTTGACAATGCTATAATGTAACTGCTTCTGTGTTAGTGGATTGTAATTTGATAATTGGCTACCAGAATTATAACGTACATACGTCATTTGAGACTCTATAATCTAGCAACAAACTAATGATTTAATGACACGTTTCAGAAAACAATCCTCGTACAAACTACAGCATGGATTTAAATTGTTAAGAGTTAGCCCCCTTCGATATGCTGCAGAGTGTGAGCAATGGTGATGACCACTAAGAATCAGCCAGATTACAAATAAAAGATATAGATCAACTTTCACAAGTTTTACGTATAATTAAGTACGTTTCATACAACTTGGACGCGTCATAAGGACTAAGATGAGCTTCGTCATACTGAGTTGTCTGTCAATCCCTTTTGAATCATCCATGTGCTCTTCTTTATTTACTTTAAGTAAATGACTTCTCCCTTCTGACGAAGCACAAGACCTCCGGTCATAAAATTAGATATTAAGCTATTTATGTAGCTTGCAAAGACGGAATGTGATCAGTTAAGTGGTTATATGTAGATGTGCAAAAGGGGGTTAAAGGTCAAGGCCACTGATATTTAAAATAGAACAAGAGTATACTGTCAAAATTATATTGTATTGCACTTAACAAGATCACTTATATTAATTGTAGTGTTACATTACAGTGTCATATTAACGTTTTGTTATTAAAGGGTTCCTTTGTTATATGACATCATTATTTACACTAGTTGTTTTGTTATATCACAGTCAATACACTGAGAAGTCAACAGAAGGCCTGGTGCTGAACTCACTCGGAATTGTGATTGTAGCCCTTGTCGCCCTGGTGGCCTTTGTGGTGACACGACCGGAATACAAGCGACAGCCCTCCCCAGATGAAGACCATATACAGCTGATGGGTTGACTCGAGATACGTCCCGCCAAAGGCCTAAAAATGATCTGATTGATAACTTACGAGGGCCATATCTGATGTCATGACAACACTGATCCATAGACAGCCTACTGAGATACTTTGGAGTTATTCAGAGATATAAATCTATCTTTAAATCATTTTTTTGTCGATCGAAAATTATTACCAAAAAGATAATGTGTTCTAGAACTCTGTAATATTGTGTGGATCAATATCATAGAAGACATTTTTTAACGTTTTGGACCCTGACAAATTATAAGTAAATATTTGGTTGAACATTTTGATATAGAGTGTTGCATAACTTTAATGTACAGTGACAACTTTAGACAATATCTGTGTATGAATCAGTGTTGCCCAAGGTTCCAGCTCTGCATGTTTCCTTTAAGTAACTGCCAATATTTAATGGTTGACATTGTCGTTCAAAGGTACAGTATATGAATATATGATGTGTATATGTGTGTCTTATCATTAGGGTGATTATGTAACCAAGCTGAACATGCAAGTAGTCAGGAAGTCTTCAAAGATATGAATATATTTTCTTCAAAATCTTGTGACATTTCTGAGACATGTTTCAGATTCCTGTACACTTAACTTACATTGTGTTGTAGAATCCTTATATACAATATACAACCTTAATCTGGCTTTGTTTTATTGACCTTTAATTGTTCCTAATGACCTCTTCTGTGTTGATTGGTCACTGAGAAAATAATAATGATACTGACTTTATCCTCTGTCTATCTAAGTAGACTTTACCATTAGACAAAGATACTGACTTCATCCTCTGTCTATCTAATTAGACTTTATCATTAGACAATGATACTGACTTTGTCTCCTATCTATCTCAGTAGACTTTACCATTAGACAATGATACTGACTTTGTCCCCTATCTATCTAATGAGACTTCACCATTAGACAATGATACTGACTTTGTTCTCTACCTATCTAAGTAAACTTTACCATTAGACAATGATACTGACTTTTTCCCCTATCTATCTAAGTAGACTTTACCATTAGACAATGATACTGACTTTGTCCCCTACCTATCTAAGTAAACTTTACCATTAGTCAATGATACTAACTTTGTCCTCTACCTATCTAAGTAAACTTTACCATTAGACAATGCTACTGACTTTGTCCTCTACCTATCTAAGTAGACTTTACAATTTGACAATGATACTGACTTTGTCCTCTGTCTATCTAAGTAAACTTTACCATTAGACAATGATACTGATTTTGTCCTCTACCTATCTAAGTAGACTTTACAATTTGACAATGATACTGACTTTGTCCTCTGTCTATCTAAGTAAACTTTACCATTAGACAATGCTACTGACTTTGTCCTCTACCTATCTAAGTAGACTTTACCATTTGACAATGGTACTGACTTTGTCCTCTGTCTATCTAAGTAAACTTTACCATTAGACAATGCTACTGACTTTGTCCTCTACCTATCTAAGTAGACTTTACCATTAGACAATGATACTGACTTTGTCCTCTACCTATCTAAGTAGACTTTACCATTTGACAATGATACTGACTTTGTCCTCTGTCTATCTAAGTAAACTTTACCATTAGACAATGATACTGACTTTGTTTCCTAAATATCTAAGTAGATCAACTTTACCATCAGACAGCATGAAATAAGCAGAAATAGGTTTAATGTGTATTTGTCATATGTTATACAGAATGTGTTCAGTTTCTATTTTGAATTCTTTTCAAAGCTGGTTGTGTACTTGCTAATGTATATTTTCATTGTGGATTTTTGTAGCATGGTTTGTTAGTTCAGTGCAATATTGATATGGTTTTGATATTAAAATGTTATGTTGCTAATTGTGTGTTATAATACAAGTAATAATGAAGTTGTGAAGATCTTTGCCATACAAAATTATGATGTACAATTATATATAATTAACAAATCACTGTGGACACACATGCTAAAACTCTAGTGCTACATTTACGTGTTTAATTGATGTTCTACAGAACTACATGGTAATCATGTTTATCAAAGTAGAGGCACAGATAGAGAACTTAAGTATTTATAAGACAAGATTTTTACCATACTTTAAAAACTTGACAAAAAACAGGAACAGCTGCACGTCAGTGTCTCATAAATCCAGCTTGGCAGGTTGAAAAATATAACTTATGGCATTTTAACTGAGTTATAATTAAACAATATTATTATGTTAACCCTGATAACAGACCACTTGCAATAAGATACCACTTTATTGACCTAACAAAGATGGTCTCTGAATACATACAGGTGTAATTGTATTGTCAATACAGGTGTGATTGTGTTGTCATTACAGGTGTGATTGTATTGTCATTACAGGTGTGATTGTATTGTCATTACAGGTGTGATTGTATTGGTAATGTATATCATGCAGTTCTCGCTGATTCTATAAAACATTTCCATTGTTAACGCTACATTCCTTCAAACAGTTTTAATAGTATAAGTTGTTCTGCTGCTGGGTATTACTTCCGATACAAACGTTGGTTTTGCGATAGGTGTTTGAATAGTATTTACTGCTGCTGGGCAGTGTGATACGTGTGCTGTGTGAGATACGTGTGTTGGTCTTGCATTAGGTGTTTGAATGGTAATCTAGTAATGGTTGCTACCTTATATCAATGATAAAGATTCGCTGAGGAGCCGAAACTAGTCGGCCATATTAAACATCCACTTAAACTGGTGACGCCCAAGCTGTGCTGTGACTGGACCCCTCTCCCTATATGGTATCACAGCTTGGAACATTCACAGCCAGGGTAATGTATAAGGAGAAACTTCATCTCCTTTCATTGTTATATAAATGCATTTGTTTATTTAAAGATTTGTAATTTGAAAGAGAAGATAGTATCATTGTTTTTTGTTTACCTATACTTTCTAGGATATGTTTAACTTGATATGTAATTTTGTGTCGATTTTGTAAATCTGTTGATGTACATTGTATATGTATTCATGTTAAATTTCCTTTCAAATAAATTCATGCACCTGAAAATCTTCAGGTGAAAGTGATGGAGGAGAAAATTAGTCTGTATTTTTATTCAATGAGCGAATTTGGCAGAGTATTTAAAACCCTGAACTTTAAAAGGTGAGGGAGCATGGATTTGATTCAAATTTAAAAGCTCTTTTATCCAAGTGAGCTTGTACATCCTTCATCTATCAATTTTTCCTTTCAACAACTACCTCTGAAGAATAGGAAAGTTGTAAAGTATTTTTATTTGGCTGGTAGCTTCCTGGAATAGGGCCCTACAAACTTTGCAAGTAGAAACGATCTTGACATGTATTTCAGGTCACATGGGTCAAACATGTTAAAAAATTCTAATAAAGCATCCGAAGAAGAATGGAATATCCTTGAATCATGATATTAGGCTGGGAGCTTCTTGGGATGTAGTGCAACAAAGTTTGCGAGTAATAATGACCTTGACATGTATACAAGTTCACAGGAGTCAATTTTGTCAAAAAACTGCTTCTGTTGAATGAAAAGGTCTAGAAACATGATATTAGTCTGGAAGCTGGATACAGCCCAACATTTTTAGGTCACCTGAGACAAAGTCTCAAGTGACCTATTGCAATCGCCTTTTGTCCGTCGTCGTCCGTCCGTAAACAATTTACATTTCAACTTCTTCTCCAAAACCCCTGAACCAATTTCAATGAAATTTTGCAGGGACCTTCCATAGACAAAGGTCAACAAAAATAGTGGCCGGTTTAGTCCCAAGCCCCCAGGGGCCTGAGGGGCGGGGCCAAAAAGGGTCAAATTGACTAAAATTTCAAAAATCATCTTCTCCAAAACCCCTGAACTAATTTCAATGAAATTTTGCAGGGACCTTCAATGGACAAAGGTCAACAAGAATTTTAAAAATCTTCTTCTCAAGACCCAGATATGGTAGAATCAAATACTCTTCATATATGGGAGGGTCTTAAGGTGCTTTACCAAAATTGTGAATTTCTTGACCCTGGGGTCTCACGTTTCCCCCTGGGGAGGGGGTAAACTTTACTTTATTTTATATAGGGAAATCACATTTTGGACCAACATTTGTTTAATTTCCATTGGAAGTAATTCAGTTTGGGTTAGCATTATCAGTATTAGGTAGCAGTTTGATAGTATGTACCTATGAGCCCTGACTGACCCCCAGGGGCTGATGGATGGGGCAAAAAAGGGTTGAATTGACTGAAATTTCAAAGACTTCTTCTCAAGACCAAGATATGGTAGAATCAAATTCTCTTCATAGATGGAAGGGTCTTAGGGTGCTTTACTGAAATTGTGAATTTCATGACCCTGGGGTCTCACGTTTCCCCCTGGGCAGGGGGTAAACCTTACTATAGTTTATATAGGGAAATCACATTTTGGACCAACATTTGTTTAAATTCCATTGGAAGTAATTCAATTTGGGTTAGCATTATGAGTATTAGGTAGCAGTTTGATAGTATGCACATATGAGCCCTGACTGACCCCCAGGGGCTGATGGGTGGGGCACAATTTATTATGGTTTATAATGGCAAATGATATGTTGAATGTTAATAACTTGATTGGAATTATAACCTTGAGGAGTCAGTGTGCTAAAATTTCTTCATTTTCCTTGTTTAGAATCAGAGGTGCTAGTTTCAAATACATTTTAGTCTGAAATCTGTATGCTAGATATTGAATAAGGTGTTTTTTAGCCCACCATCATCTGATGGTGGGCTATTCAAATCCCCCTGCATCCGTGGTCCGTCGTCCGTCCGTAAACAATTCTTGTTATCGGTATTTCTCAAGAAGTACCAGAGGGATCTTTCTCAAATTTTATATGCAGGTTCCCCTTGGTCCTTAGCTGTGCAGGGCAACTTTTGAGACTGATCGGATAAACAACATGGCCGACAGGCAGCCATCTTGGATTTTGATATTGAAAGTTTGTTATCGCTATATCTCAAGAAGTACCAGAGGGATCTTTTTCAAATTTTATATGTAGGTTCCCCTTGGTCCTTAGCTGTGCAACTTTTGAGACTGATTGGATAAACAACATGGCCGACAGGTATCCATCTTTGATTTTGATAGTGTGGGTTTGTTACCGCTATTTCTCCGGAGAACTAGAGGGATCTTTCTTAAATTTTATATGTAGGTTCCCCTTGGTCCTAGCTGTGCAAAGGAATTTTAGAGACTGATCGGATAAACAACATGGCCGACAGGCAGCCATCTTGGATTTTGATATTGAAAGTTTATTATCGCTATTTCTCGGGAAGTACGGGAGGGATCTTTCTCAAATTTTAAATGTAGGTTCCCCTTGATCCCTCGTTGTGTATGTTATATTTTGAGACTGATCATAAAAACAAAATGGATTAAAAGAAGAACTAAACAGATCTTTCTCATATTGCAATGATCGATTCTATTTCTTTCACATTAAGTACTGTACTAGTAAATATGTGAAATGACAAACTCACTTTGAAGGTTGGCTTTCATACACATCAGTATTAAGTTTAGATCAAAAGTTACCTCAAGGTGCATTTACTGTTAACATGACTCGATCAAACAGATTAGAGGAAAGAAGAGAAAAGATCGAACTGACAAAGAACTAATGAAGATGGTACAAAGGTGGGCGCCAAGATCCCTCTGGGATCTCTTGTATTGTTTTTTTGTCACTTTGAATAATATTTCTGTTCATGTTAAAAACAAAATCAACTCTCTGTATAAATATATCAGGTGACCGTTAAGGCCCATGGGCCTCTTGTTTACTGATAAAATGGCCTTGATGTATAATAAAAGTAACAGAGGGGATATGTCAAAAAATTTCGAAGGACTTCTTCTGAAGAACCTAAAGACAAAGAGTCATAATATTAGGCTGGTAGCCTCTTTGGATGTTACAACTAATTCTTCTGAAGAATCAAAAGTGCTAGAATAATATTTGGCTAGTAGTAAGCTGAGATGAAAGGCTATGACATTTTTTCCAATGAATGACCTGTACTTATGTCAAAAACTTCATAAACTTTTGAAGCACTGAAAGGCCTAGATTCATGATGTCAGGTTGATAACTCCCTTTCTATGTGGAAAGGGGGTTTAAATGTGTTAAAAAACCAATTTTAAACCACTTTCAAACCAAAACACCAAGGGCGATGATATTTGGCCTGTAGCATGCCCAGAGAAAGGGCTATTAAGTTTGTTCAAATGAATGACTTTTCCCTGAATTAGATATCACGAGTCATATATATTGAAAACATGTAAAGCAACTTCTTCAGAACAGCCCAAAAAAACCCAGGGTGATGATGTATTTGGCCAATAGCTTGCTGGGACGAAGGACTATCATGTATATTGAAATGAAAGACCTTCACCCATAATAAAGGTCATAGGGGTCAAATGTGTTAAAAACCATTAAATTACTTCTTCTGAATACCCAAAAGACCCAGGATGTTGATATTATTGGCCTTTATTCAGCTATGAAAGATAACAGGGTTTTTTTGGTTTTGAGCTCACCTGGCCCGAAGAGCCAAGTGAGCTTATGCCGTGGGGCGTCATCCGTTATCTGTCGTCTGGCATCCGGCGTCAATATTTTGCTTTTAACAACTTCTTCTCAATAAACCAACTGCCTAGGGTGATGATATTTGGCCAGAAGCAAGATGGGGTTAAGGGCTACCAAGTTTGTTCAAATGGATGACCTTCATCTATTTTCAAGGTCACATGGGGCAATTGTTAAGAAAAACCTTTAAACAAGTTCTGAATAACTAAAAGGCCCAAGATGCTGATATTTAGTCAGTAGCATACTAGGATGAAGGGCTACCAAGTTTGTTTAAATGCACGACCTTGAATCATATCAAGGTCACAAGTAGCAAATATGTTCAAAATGTTAACACAACTTGTTCTGAATAACCAAAAGGCCCAGGATGTTGATATTTGGCCAGTAGCATTCTGGAATCAAGGGCTACCATGTTTGTTCAAATGAATGACCTTCATTCAATTTCAAGGTCACAGGGGTCAAATATGTTTAAATCTTTGAATGACCTCTTCTGAATAACCAAGAGGCCCAGGGTGATGATATTTGGCCAGTAACATGCTGGCATGAAGGGCTACAAAGCTTGTTCAAATCAATGACCTTCATTCATTTTTAAGGTCACAGGGGTCAAATATCTATAAATCCTTTTAACAACGTCTTCTGAATAACCAAGAGGGCTCGTGTGATGATATTTGGCCAGTAACATGCTGGAATGAAGGGCTGCCAAGTTTGTTTAAATGGATGACCTTGACCTATATTCAAGGTCACTGGGGTCAAATATGTTTCTAACATTTAAACACCTTCTTCTGAATAACCAAGATGCCTAGGGTGATGATAGTTGGCAAGTAAAATGCTGTGATTAAAGGCTACCTAGTTTGTTCAAATAAATGACCATGACTTATATTCAAGGTCACATGGGTCAAATATGTGTATTCCTTTAAACAACTTCTTCTGAACAACCAAGAGGGTTAGGATGATGATATTTGGCCAGTAACATGCTGGGAAAAAGGTCTACCAAGTTTGTTCAAATGAATGACTTTGAATCATATTCAATGTCACTGTGGTCACATATGTTAAAAGCATTTAAACAACTTCCTCTGAATAACCAAGAGGCCTAGGGTGATGATAGTTGGCCAGTAACATGCTGGGATGAAGGGCTACCAAATTCGTTCAAATGAATGATCTTGACCTATATTCAAGGTCACAGGGATCACATATGTTTAAAACATTTAAAAAGTGTCTGATGAATAACCCACGGGTCTAGGGTCCTTACATTTGGCCAGTAACATGCTGGGAATGAAGGGCAACCATGTTTGTTCAAATGAATGACCTTGCCATATATTCAATGTCACAGGGGTCAAATATGTTTTAAACCTTTTAATGACTTCTTCTTAATAAGCAAAATGCCAAGGGTGATGATATTTTGCTAGAAGCATGCTGGGTTGAAAAACTATAAACTCTGTTCAGCCTAATGTCCTTGTTCAACATCCAAGGTCACGGCCGTCATATGTATAAATCTTTTAATAGGTTCTTAAATTAAACGCTGATATTCTTCCTGTAGTTGTA